TATGCTGGTCCTTTGCTAGTTTATGCAGGTCCTTTGCTGGTTTAATCTGGTCCTTTGCTGGTTTAAAGTGGTCCTTTGCTGGTTTAAGCTGGTCCTTTGCTGGTTTAAGCTGGTCATGTAACGAAACACCGCAGTGTGTTGCTCGGAGACACACAACAGTTCTGCTGTGGCTTTGATCGGAACTATTTACACATCAGCGAAATTTAGCAAAATCTGTCAATATTTTGTCTAAAATCTAATCTAACAGTTGCCACCTCGGGGGGAACAAGAGCTGACTCTGGGACAGATTCAAGGACTGGAGTGAAGTCTGGGGCAGACTCGGGGACTAAAGTCATCTTTGTCCTGTGCTCAGGAGCTAAAGGCCTCACTAGACTAAGGTCAGGGGCTGGAACGAACACTGAGCTTGACATGGGAACATAAACCCTCTCTGGGCTCAACTCGGGAACGGGAGCCTTCTCCGAGCTAGACTTGAGATCAGATTCGGGGAGTAGAGTGGGCGCCACCACCTCGGGAGGTTCTGCAGCAGAGGCTGGCACCTCTGGGGAAACTACAGTGGTGTGTGCGGCCCAAACACAGAGAATGGGGAAACTACAGTGGTGTGTGTGGCCCAAACACAGAGAATGGCTGTAGCTATTACTGGCAAGACAGAGAGTACATTGTCTATTTCCAAAACTAATGGTGCTGTGCCTGGGGAACTGGGGTGAGTAGCGCCCGGCAGGCTTGAGAGTGTAGAAACTGTGTGGCTCATTACAAACCAAGAAAAAGTATGTGGCGATGTGGCTGTGGAGAAAACTGTGGCTGGCTTAGTGAGAGCGAGAGGGTCCGCCTCCTTCCACTTTATAGCCTCGTCTCCCCAGCTCAACCAATAAGGAACTAGAGACAACAAAAAAAAGATGATGAACAGTATGCACAATATGAACACTAATGTTTATTTGAGGACTCGCGTACGGGGCGGGGTGTACGCGAGGCACGCGTAACAGGAGGAAATGCCTAAAGCCCAAAACACGCTGCACGATTTTAACAATCCTATAAGATCACTGCATGTCACATTGTGCTACATGGATCTAATAAACTTGGCTACGACGTGTGTAGACTGTACGATGATGACACCTAGTGACTCGTACGCTACGACGCACGTTTCTATAGAAGAATAAAATGTCATCAGCATGCGCTAGTAGTAAACAAAAAGAGCATGCTAAATCACACTTCAGTAGTTGTATTTTTTATGTGTGCTGGAAGCGACAAAAGAGGAAGGTATGAGAGCTTGAGGTAAGCTGTTTTATGTTTTAGCGTCACGTCGCATTGATTTCATGTCGCATTTTTATTGGTTGGTCAGTAAACGTGAATCGTACCAGCGAACACATTGTGCGATGATCATGCTGCATCATAGGCTATCTTTGGCCACAAGATCGTGACAACGGCCGTCTTTGAACCTCTCACTGAATGACACAGGACCACCGATTAGGAGCCACGATCACCGAAATCGCCACAATCATCTCACGATGCCAATCCTTTATTTGGGACAGCTGAAAATCATGCAGTGTGTTTAGGGCTTAAAGCCACAGGTGCGCCAGAGCATCCACACCCATAAATGCACTGCCTCTCACCAATGAGAAGAATAGAGGTCAGTGATTTTTGTGTGATTCGAAGAGATCTACAGTAGTGTGGCCAAACCTCTTCCACAACTGGCCATCCACCTAGGGGTGGAGTGTCCATTCTCCATACAGAGGATTTCCTCTGGACGGGAGTCAGCCCCTGCATTCATTATTCCCGGGACATGTGTTGCCCTTAATGAATGAATGAAAGTTTCTCGCCGGTGCCAAGTTTAAGAGCTGCAGATGACGTAGTTATTTTAATAACAACAGAAACATGGTGAACACCAAAATTATAGATTACTTTCTCTAAAACACAACAGAAAACAACAATGCTGCAAATGTAGTTATTTTTCTTACTATCTATTTATCCATCTATAACCTATGGCTACATTCACACTGTCAGAAATTGACGGGAGCGGCTCCGGTGGAAAACTGACTGGATCTAAAACTGTCAGATGACACACCGCTCATTTCTCTGTCACTGTAAGTTACCGAAACCACACATGAAAATGCGTTTGTACAGTAGAGCGGCTCTCTTGCACTGTTTGACGTAACAGACAACTAGTTGTCCAGTCCTGTTCCGTTCACACAGTGTCTATGTTCCGAGAATGCAGTTGTGAATCCTGAAAATTTACGGGTGAGTTCGGTTACAGAATGCGGTTGTCACACCTGCTGTGTGAACGTGACCTATGACTCTTGACTGTTCAAACCAGATGTGACAAGATGTTTCTGACCTACATTTATCATTATAGCACGACCGTCGATCCTAGGGAGTTAATCTGTAGGCTAAGAACATTTCAAAAGAATCATGTAATTATAATTGGGAAAATTGTTGTTAGATGTCTAGGAAAGAACTTAAACTTTGAAACTGCTAGTTAACTTTATTTTCTGCTCAAGATGAGAACGTTTTGATTATTGTAGCCACATTTGTTTTTAGTAGATACTGCTTGAAATATTAAAATAGTATAGATTTCAGGAGGAAAACTCTGAACAGAAACAGTATTTTTTCTGTCACATGTATCTAAATGTAAAAATACAATAGGCCTACATGTAAAAATTATTATTACTTTTTTTTTGTCCGGACCACTGCTTGGAAGAAAATATTAAGGTTGCACTTCTTGGAACTTTAATTTAATACCCCCGACTTTTATTATAAATAAATACTTTATTTGTATGGTTTTGTAACATCTGCCTCACATCTGTCATGGTAGATCGGACTCTTATTATAGAATTTGGTTACAGAAAAACTGTTTTTGAAAATGGTAATGGATTAAAACATAAGTAACAGGCTGGATGTACATTAACCTTACATCTTAACACTTTTTTTTTTTTTTTTTTTACAAAGCAGATCATATATCATATTGGGGCAGTTTCCCGGACTGATATTAAGCCTAGTCCTAGACTAAAATGACCCTTTAAACCAGATTAACAGAAATCTGCTTTCTCCGCCATGGTTTTAAATAGTCTTAGACTTGGTCTAGTCCAGAATTTAATAGGCTGATTTCCTGGAGTAAGACTAGAGCTACTTAAGGACTAAATTGAGGCTTAAATTAAATCTACCAGGAGGCAGGTTTAACTTCAGATTAATGTCATTTGAAAGACACATGGATTACTTGGCCTATGTCAATGAAGACCAACGCTTACCACCAGCTAGACAAGTTCTTGCAGACAGAAGTGACCTATTGCAACATTTTGATGAAATACGTTTTCGAGATCATTTCTGCATGCATAAAGTAAATGCAGTAGAAATTATTTCACTTTTAGAAACCAGGCATTCATCTGTGAACCAAAGAGGACAGCTTGTTCCAGTTTGTCTCCAGGTGCTCATAACATTAAGGTTTTTGGCATGTGGTGCCTTTCATTCAAGAAACTGGGAATTTATGTGGTGTCTGTGAATGACTTTACATACTGTTGGTTCACTGAGTATGCAGGGCCATTTATGAATTAAGACCATATTACATCAACTTCCCTGATGCTACAACTCAGGCTAACTACAAGGTACTATTCTATGAATATGGAAATTTCCCAGGAACCCATATTCCCATTAAGCGTCCCCCTACTCCAGATGCTGAGGAATAAGGAACCGAAATAATTGGTTTTCCATAAATGTCCAAGGTGTATGCACTCCCCAGTTAGAGTTCTCAAACATTGTTGCACATTGGAAAGGTGCAACTCATGATTCCTGAATTTTCCTCAACTCATCTCTGTATACTCAGTTTGAAAGAGTATTGCTTGGTGACAGTGGGTATGCGCAGAAGAAACTGCTGAACAACGGCGCTACAACCAGGCTCATATGCGCACAAGGGGTTTAGTAGAGCGCATGTTTGGTGTTTGGAAGAGTCGCATTCAGTGCCTTCGGAAAACACTCCGATTCAAACCAAGAAGATGCTGCATTGTCATCATTGCAACAGCTGTTCTTCACAACTACCTGAAACAGCAGGGATGCCCAGATCCCCCAATAGAAGAGGATGACAATCCAGATGTGCCACCATTTACAACAGACCTCAGAGAAGGACTTGCATACAGACATGCTTTTGCATTGTGCCACATTAAATAGATATTTTATGCCTTTCAACCTTCTGCTCAGATCTGATACATGTAATGAGCAAATAAAATATATGTTAAAAGTATAATGATATTTTGTCTGATATGTTATGAAACCATCATTTCCATCTTGACTTAATAAAACAATATTTATTTCACAGATTCATGTATAGATGTGACATTTTGAGCCTGCTGCATCTCTCTCCTCCATCTTCATCTCCAGTTCTTCTTGTAGTATCTTCATCTTAATTTCATGCTCCTCCTTAAGATACTTCAACTTGTGTTCATGGAATTCATTAGCCAACCTTTCATGGACAGGGAGTCTTTTCTTCCGGTGACCAGTACTGGCAGACATTGCCACCCTTGCTCCTGAGGATGTGGAGGGTAAACTGCCTTCCATCTCTTCAGTTCTGTTCTGACCTTCTCCTTGAAAAAAGAACAGTTCATTTATGGTCAAATAAATACAGATTAAATGGGGAAATGTTTCACGTCAGATGACAGAAGCAAATTAAAAGTTTGAGAGGAGAGAAACAAAAGCCAAAATAAGTCATATACTTAGGTGTGTGTGATCCATCATCTGAACTATCTAGATGGTCGTCATCTGGTATGTTCTCCAAAGGCTGCTGGTTCTCCATTATTCCTGTCAGTAACTCATCCAACTCGTCACAGTCTTTATTTGCAGGTCCTCCACCAGTCTTAAACCTCTCTCTTCGAGCTTCAGCAGCAGTTTTTTTAGGTTTATTTTTATATTCTTCCACAAAACCTGTATTAAATAATGACAACAGTGATGAAAAAAAGCCACATAATAAAGCTGATTATTCTTACCTGAAGTTGTTGTATTGTTCTTGTAGATGTGTTGATTTGCATTAAATTCATTACAAATAGATTTCCAGGCATCCCTTTTCTTTGATTCAACAGCTGATGTGCGCAGTTTATCTTCAGTAACAGGAGGTCTTGAAACTATTTGCTTTATAATACTTTTCTCGTGTTCAGAAAAGTTCTTTGATCGCACTCTCTTTTCAGCTGTCATTGCCATTTGCTTTTCAGTTGCATACAATTCTAAACTTTTCTTGGTTCAGTCCATGTTTTATAGGCAACCTCAATTCAGCTAGTTCAGATTTGCACAGGTGGTTTTAAATGAATCAAGTTTATTTTAGTTCAGGACTCCATAGTCCAGGTGTTAGTAATCTGTACTTAATCTGTGAATCAGAAAGGCATTTTTAAAGCCATGATTAAGTATTCTAGATTAAGGCCTACTCCTGTCTTAATTTAAACCCTGTCCGAGAAACCGCCTCATTATTAAGTCATATCATACATTATTAATAAAAATATATTATATTATAGTTTGTCTAAACAGCTTCGTAAATAGGAAGATTTCAAAACATGAGGATTCTGAATGGAATTATTTTAGCGAGCCATTAAATGACTAGAGACTCGACTCAGGCTGCGTTTACACTGTAAGTCTTAATGCACAGATCCGATCTTTTCACCATATCCAATTTTTTTGGCACGTCTGTTTACATTCACTTTAGACACGCCTCGTATCCGATATCTGTGTTTACACTAATCTCCCGCCTAAAATAATTTCACTGGCTTTCATGACAATGAGCGCAACGACTGACCCTCGAATTCTGGATGGACTTTTGCTTATTCATCTTTTCCAAAGTTGGCAAAAGTATACCCGACAGCAAATAAATAAACAAAGAAAGCGAAAGCAGCTTTTTAATGCTGCCATCATAAGGACGGCGTTAATGCTTTCTAGATCGGTGGCACGACTACTGTGGGAAAGACCAAGGAGGCAGGAGTGGTGGAACCAAGTCAACTCCTTTGACGAGAAGGAATGGGTACAAAATTTTCGCATAAACAAGATTAGATTTGAGTTTCTATGCGAGCGCTTACATGCTGTGTCATAAAGACACCCCATTAAAAAAAGTGATCCCAGTGCGCAAACGTGTCACCCTTGCCTTATGGTGGCTTGTCACTGGGGCCGGCTATCGCACATTGGCGCACCTGTTCGGAGTGAGCTGTTCTTCGGTGTGTCACATTGTTTGCGATTTTTGCCTCGCAGTAAAACACGAGCTGCTCCACGAGTATGTTAAGTTACCACGGGGAGAGGAATTTCAGAATGTGATCAGGGGGTTCTACACTACCTGGGGTTTCCCTCAATGTGCTGGAGCAATTGATGGGAGTCACATTCCCATCATTGCCCCGTCACACAACCCCACTGATTACTTCAATCGGAAAGGTTGGCATTCGGTTCTGTTGCAGGCGGTTGTAGACGACAGAATGTGGTAAATAAAACTTCCCTACTCTGTTTTTGCCTACCCCACTGATATACACAAGGCAAACATTAACTGTAAAATGTATTACTTAGCTTTACCAACATCAACGTGGGGTGGCCGGGAAGCGTACATGACGCACGGGTCCTGAGGAACTCAAAGGTGTACGACTTGGCAGAGAGAGGACAGCTTTTCCCCCCGGTGCGTCGTGGAACAGTGACGTAATTGACATGGAGAATCGGATATGCGTGTTTAGACGTAGGTCGGATGTCCAGATATCGGATATGTATCTGATTTAAAACCACATTTGGAAACGGCTGAGATCGGATGCGAAAAAATCGGTGTTTACACGCGTGCATCAAATTTCGATCTGTGTTAGATGTGGGCAAAAAATCTGATTTTTTTCTGCCAGTGTAAACACAGCCTCAGACTAGTGACCAAAGACTTGAGACTTGACTCAGACTCCAACATCTCTGCCTTCCACATTGACTACATATGAAATGTTTCTCTCCGGTGTGAATGGTCATGCGGTATCTACGGCTTAGTTGTGTTATGAAGCTCTTTTCACATTGATCGCAGTGTGACAAAATATTATAGAACTCATTATAATCAGTGATGCTGTCAACACTGAATAGCGGCGCAATGCAAAAACAAATTCCTGACAGTAAACTGCTCCCTCGTTCTATTTATGATGTACTGGCACAAAGTTCAAATGATTTGCAACGGTTGCTTTATCGTATCCAGTGTAGACAGACTTTAGGTATTGTTGCATCCGGTGTAGACATGATGTAAGGCTTCTCTCCAGAGTGAATTCTCATGTGATTTTAAGGTTTCCTTTTTTAGCAAAACTCTTTCCACACTGTTTACAGATAAAATGTCTCTCGAGTGTGAATCCACATGTGGACTTCAAGATTTCCTTTTTGAGTGAAACTCTTCCCACACTGTTTACAGATAAAATGTCTCTCTCCAGAGTGAATCCTCATGTGGACTTCCAGGTTTTGTTTTTGAATGAAATTCTTCCCACACTGTTGGCAGCTGAACAAGCTCTCTCCACTGTGAGTTCTCATGTGGGAATTAAGGTTGCTTTTATGTGTAAAACTCTTTTCACACCGAGAGCAAGTATAAGGCTTTTCTCCAGTGTGACTTCTCATGTGCACTTCAAGGTTTCCTTTTTGAGTGAAAGACTTTCCACACTGTTTACAGATAAAATGTCTCTCTCCTGTGTGAATCCTCATGTGGACTTTAAGGTTTTGTTTTTGATTGAAATTCTTCCCACACTGTTGGCAGGTGTATAAGCTTTCTCTACTGTGAATTCTCATGTGGGATTTAAGGTTGCTTTTTTGTATAAAACTCTGTCCACACTGAGAGCAAATATAAGGCTTTTCTCCAGTGTGACTTCTCATGTGGACTTCAAGGTTTCCTTTTTGAGAGAAACTCTTTCCACACTGTTTACAGATAAAATGTCTCTCTCCAGAGTGAATCCTCATGTGGACTGCCAGGTTATGTTTTTGAATGAAATTCTTCCCACACTGTTGGCAGCTGAACAAGCTCTCTTCACTGTGAATTCTGATGTGGGAATTAAGATTGCTTTTATGTGTAAAACTGTGTCCACACTGAGTGCAAGTATAAGGCTTTTCTCCGGTGTGAATTCTCATGTGGACTGCAAGGCTTCCTTTTTGAGCAAAACTCTTTCCACACTGTTGGCAGGTGTAAGGCTTCTCTCCAGTGTGAACTCTCATGTGGACCTTAAGGTTTCGTTGTCGATTGAAACTCTTTCCACAGTGATGGCAGGTAAAACTCTTAGATTCTACCTTCTTTTCTCCAATTTTTAAATCATGATCTTTCTCATTCTGCTCTTTCTCTTCCATATCCTTCAGCTCTTGACTCTTCTCAATCAGGTCTAGAAAAAAAACATACAAAAATCAGTTTAATGTCTTTGTCAGCTTCAATTTCTCTTAAGATCAAGTTGTCCATTGTTGTCCAAAAGCACAATTTATGGTATGCGAAACATGGAAGCATTCTCAAGATCTGGTTTATTGATCGCATCACCAATGAAAAAGTCTTGCAGCTGGGAAATTCCAACAGCCTTCAAGTTGCCATCACACAGCAACATCTCAGGCTAGTCGGGCATATTCTATGCATAACAATGCATTGGTGGCCATGAGGCCCAAGCGTGGACAACCCGGAACCACCTGGTGCTAGACCTTTACCAACAATCTTAAGCATGCCGGCATATCCTGGGACGAAGCTGAAGTGCTGGCAGAGGATGACAACAATGGGGAGACCTCGCCCATTGTGCCCAACAGCACAGGAGTAAGTCAGGTCATATCTATCAAATTGCTACCACATAAATATGTAAATGATTATGTGTTTCATCACTTCTCACTTGTCCTTGAACAAGCTCTTAAAACCTTTTCAATCTGGGTTTCGATCAGGACATAGTACGGAGACTGCCCTGGTTCGAGTCATGAATGATCTCTTTGTCTCTGCTGACTCTGGTGCCCTTATTATTCTGGTGCTGTTAGATTTGAGTGCAGCCTTCGATACGGTGTGTCACTCTATACTGATTGAGAGACTGGAGACTTGGCTTGGTATCTCCGGTACAGTGCTTGATTGGTTTAAATGTCTCTCTGATCGCTCCCAGTTTATTGATTTAGATAACAACAAATCTAATGTCGGACAGGTCTGTAATGGTGTTCCCCAGGGTTCTGTCCTGGGTCCTATACTTTTTAGTATTTACATGCTCCCTCTAGGGCAGATAATTAGAAAGCATGGTTTGGGGTTTCATTTCTATGCTGATGATACCCAAATTTATATAAGCACGAAAACTAATATTACAGGTATCTTGGAAACACTAACTGACTGCTTGCAGTAAATTAAATTATGGATGTACCACAATTTTCTTAAATTGAATAGTACTAAGTCAGAGGTCCTTCTCATCGGCACCCCTGAATCTGCTTCCAATGGTATAAATTTGAGTTTGCATTTTGATAATAGTGTAGTATTTTCGTCCTCTCTAGTTCGTAATCTTGGTGTTCTTTTTGATCCTCATTTGACTCTGGATGCACATATCAAGAGTATTTCCAAATCTGTTTTTTCACCTCAGGAATATTGCCAGGATTAGGCATTTTCATTCACTATCTGATGCTGAAAGGCTTGTCCATGCATTTGTTACCTCTAGGGTTGATTATGGTAATGCCCTTTATATTGGTGTACCTGAAAATCCATTAAAGGGGAGGTCTAATGCTATTTTATGCATGTTGAGTTATTTACACTGTTAAAGAGTTGGATTCTCATGCTAAACATGGCCAAAGTAAAAAAAAAAAAACAGAATGAATGTAGAACAGAGTATTTTTGTGTCAAATATACTCCTTCCAGTTTTGTACAAGTTTCGGAGAGTTTTTTTTCTTCGAGCTTGGCTCTTTGTGACGTAATGAAACGTGGAACTCCTTGTATGGTAATTTTTCCCGGAAGAGCGCGCCCGCAGACACACATCGATCAGAGCGAGAGCAAGAGCGTGCCCATCAACGCGCTTCATTCGGCTGCACTGAACGAGACTCGCTCGAGAAGAATGTCTCCAAAGAAATGTGTTTTTGGCTGTAAGGGAAAGATAACCTTGTTCAGCTTAGCAAAGAACCCAGCGTTACGTGAACAGTGGATGCAGTTTGTTTTTCTGGGGCAGCAACAGTTTTGCAAGTGTGTTTTTTGTTGACGAACGTTTTATAAACAAGGCCCAGTTCGGTGCTATATTTGCACATCCAGGAAGATGGAGCGGTCCCAGCTATAAAAGATCCTGGAAATGATTTAGAATTGCAGACGTAAGTGAAATGGCATCAAATGTCTGTTTTGTTGGCAATCGGCGCTCAAGTGCTCGTCACTCTTTAGCTCCGTCCACGGCGTGCCTCCAGGAGCTCGGCTGTTTTCGGAGAGAATTGGAAAGCTGTACTTTTCTTTTATAAATATGATCAAACTAAAGACTCTTTGGAGCTATGAACGATGCTATACTACTCTATAAATACTCAAAATCAACATGAGATTGGGTGAAACTGTGTGTTATTTCCCCTTTTAAGCGCCTGCAATACATACAGAACTCAGCTGCACGTGTCCTTACTCATACTCCTCATCAGCACATCTCTGGCATGCTTAGGAACCTGCACTGGCTTCCGGGTCCATGCCCATATTGATTTTAAAACCCTTAATTTAACATATAAAGCCGTACAATGAACTGCTCTCCTTCATACATATGTGATTTAATTACTTCTTACATGCCTTCACGATCTCTCTGTTCTGCAGATTCAAAACTATGGGTGAAAGAGCTTTCTCTGTAGCGGCCCCAAGGTTGTGGAATGCTCTTCCTTTAACTGTTAGGAATGCCCCCACATTAAGTAGTTTTAAGAAACAGTTAAAACTCATCTTTTTAAAGGGGTCATATGATGCTTTTTAAAGATCATTATTTTGTGTATTTGGTGTAACAGAATATGTTGACATGCTTTAATGTTCAAAAAACACATTATTTTTCAAATACTGTACATTATTGTAGGTCCTCTATGCCCCGCCTCTCTCAAACACTTAGTTTTCTACAAAGTCCCTCCTTCCCGACAAGCACAGTCTGCTCTGATTGGCCAGTGTCTATAAAATGCATTGCTGTTCTGTTGTCAGTAATCTTAAAGATTCCTAAAAGCATCTACTTTCTGAAGGCCAAATAAAGTGCTTTCGCCTAGAAACACACAGCGTCTCCCTGACATGCTGCTTCAACGCTAACTGCGGTTACTGAAACCACGCCTTCTTTCTTTGCGTGCACATTTGGGCGCATTATGCTAATATTTCCACATAGTGAGGTAGATATGTGGGGGCGTGTTAGAACGAGCCGTTTTAGGGGGGTGTGGCAGAGTCTTAACTTTGATAAAGAATATCTCTTTGGTTTTGAGACTTTAGTCTTTGCAACTTCAGGGATCTTATCTATGCACAATCAGCTTGTAACACTCCAAAGAGAAAGGAACACTTGATATCGCATCATATGACCCCTTTAAGATAGTGTTTTCTTCTGAGTTTTTCTCTCTACCCATTTTATTACTACTGCTGTTCTTTTTATTACTGATGTGTTGTTTTCTTATTTCAATGGATGTATTTTGTACTATGCTTGATGTTGCGCTTTGGGTGTAAGAAAACTTCAGTATACATAAAATGCATCATTATTATTATTATTATTATCAAACACAAGTATAGAGTGCCACAGGGCTTAGTTTTAGCCTGCTTTTCTCCTTGTATATTCTTCCCATGGCGGATAATAAATTATTTTTATCAATTTAATTATACTAATATTTTAACAAGAATAAGAAAGAAGAACCTTTATAAGGGGCAGAAATTGTAGGTATGATTGAATATGGCAGGACTGTAATGCTTGTGGGAAAGTTCAGTAAAAGTTTCAAAGCAAACCACAAGGCTGGACATTGGTTTCTTCCACACCCACATTAAAAGGACTTATTACATGGTGTCCTGATGTTTTTAATCTGCATGTACAATGTCCTGGTGAGAGAGTGGAATCTTTCATCCCTGCTCTTTATGAACTGTCGCAGCACTGCGAGTTCAGGGCTGCTCGCGAACAGCACATTAAGGACCAAATTGTGGTAGGAATCCAAGACATAGAACTGTCACGCAAGCTGCAGCTCATCAGAAATCTCACACTTGAAATGACGGTACAAGAAACCTTATAATCGGAGGAGGTGAAAGCACAAGTTAGCACACAGTGAGAGGATGCATGTGCTATTCAAGAGGTAGCACATAAGAGACACACACGAGAAGCAAAACATTCCAGGGCCAACGTTTAAACAGTGCTCCAGAGGAAAAGAGCCAGGGAAAACGTGGCCGATGTGAAAAAATAAATGCACAGAAAATCAGACTGACCAGCACTGAAAACCTCACGCAACAGATGTAGGAAAACAGGACACTGGGAAAAGATGTGCAAAAACAAAATGATGAGTGAATTAAGAGATTGTAAAGAGTATGATTATCACTTTCTGGGCTTAGTTGGTAGCATAACTTCATACAATGAATGGACTGTGCTGCTAGGGATTGGTAGTATACCAGTTACCTTTAAAAAAAGTGTTTGTCAAGAGAGGTGACTGCTAACAACCGACTTAGCCAATCAGTAGCTGAGCAGATGGGGCTGGTGCAAAGAATTCATGAAGTTCACAGTGCTGCGATGGAGGTTGGCTTACTAAAAACACAGCCAGTGACAATTTCATTACAAAAGAATGCACATCCTATGCAGTACATGCTGCATGCAGAATCCCCTTCCACTCCTAAGTCCAGACAGATGCGTATGTCTGTCGACCTCAGGAAGTAAAACAAAGCTGTCAAGAGAGAAAGGTTTGAATTACCCACCATAGAGGAGATCACAGCAAAGCTGAATGGTGCAAGATTGTTTACCACATTGGATGCAGCTGCAGGGTTCTGGCAAATACCTTCAGTACCCCTTTTGCCAGGTACGGTTTCAAACGCCTACCCTTTGGAATCTCCAGTGCTCCCGACAAGAAAAGCTACACTTCCTAAGTAATTAAATCAGTGCAGATGGGGAGCGACCTGACCTGTCCAAGGTGTCAGCGTTACGAAGTCCGACATAGCTGCACCGCCACAGCTCCCCGACAGACAAGCACAATTAAATTAAACATGCAAGGTCTTATTTTAACAAAAGAGCCGTAGTTCACTGACAAGCTAGGCAATATCGCGTTCATTATCGCAGATAAATTGCATTCGATTATGAACGCGATATTGCCTAGCTTGTTAATGAACTACGGCTCTGTGTAGTGAATGCTGCTCCATCTGAAAGCAGGTGATGGCGATTTACTACTAATCACAGAACCGGCTTTACTGACCAGATGCGCTTGACAATTGCATGCAATTAATTGCACAGCCCTAGTCTGTTTTATGCTGAAATTAATCAGAATTGATTCGTATATTTACTCAAGTTTCATGAATGAGGCCCACTGAGCGTGGCGAAGCTTGTGGGAAAGATGCTCAATAGTCAGAAAAAGATTCAAAGCAAACCACAAGGCTGGATATTAAATTCTTCCACACCCACGTTAAAACGGCTCCCCTAGCATTTCTCTATTCCGCCTATGTGACGGGACAGCCCTGATCAAACCAAGCAAAATCTGCATCTTTTTGAGTATCTTTTCTCAGAATCACTTGTTTTGAGGATGAGAAATTACTTCTTGACAACAAACCAGTCTTTCTTTTCTTCTTTTTTTTGGGGTAGTTGCATAGTTAACAGTGAATGTTTGTCATTGTTTTCAGTTCAGAAGTTGATATTGGGCAGTTAACAGTGAGGTTCCTATGTACTATCATTTAAGTTATTAAGTTATTTATTTTTATTTAATGCATGACATAACGAATAGAAGTAGGATCTTCTCAGCTGCACTTGAGGGCAGCATTAGTATTTGTCTGGTCATGTGATCTCAACATGTTTGTATACATGAGGCTCCATAAATAAAATTAATACATTTGTAAACTCACATGACATTCTTTAAAAATATCATTCATTTTTGTAGAGATTGATATTTTAATAAGGATCCAATGAGAATGAAAACCAACCTGTTTGTTCCTCAGTATCTTCTTGTTTCAGACTGAACACTTCTTCAATCCTGAAGTCTTCACTCTCCTCTTTAATGAACGCCATCTTTATAATCGTGTGTCACGTGGATCTCAGTTGCTTCACCAGTTTTTCTGTGTGGTTCGATACTGTCGTGATGAAAAACAGAGAAAAATTTGTGCTCGGCAGTATGACCAAAAATTTATATCACGGTATTTTTCAAAATTATACCGGTTTCACGGTACATGACGGTATTTTTTTTTCCATGCATGACCGGGTGTTAACCATATTTTCTACTGATTGAGAGAGGAAATACTGCAGTATATTGACTTAGAATGCCCTATTTTACTGTCATGAGTGATTATTGTCAAAAAATACCACACTAAATAGGGACTAAACACGACCCCTTTTAATACATGTTAACCAGGAGTTTGGTTTGCAGTTGGTTTCTTGTTGCATTCACACAGTTTTGAGCAGCAGGGGCCTGTTTCAATTATGAGGTTCAACCAACTCTTGAGTTTAAACCAAGCGGCAACCTTCCGTTTCTCTCTCCCCTTTTAATACATGTTAACCAGGAGTTTGGTTTGCAGTTGGTTTATTGTTGCATTCACACAGTTTTGAGCAGCAGGGGCCTGTTTCAATTATGAGGTTCAACCAACTCTTGAGTTTAAACCAAGCGGCAACCTTCCGTTTCTCTCTCGAAACCAACACGGAAGGGACTTAAACTGTAATTCATCGACTGGCCGCTAGAGTCTGGCTCCAAAAGGGAGTCAATCCCATAGATCCCCCCATGTTAAAATGCCCAACTTTACAGCAGAAAAAAAATGTGTCTACAGCCTGGTACAAAAAAAGATTTTGGTCTATATAGCTAATTTTGCCCTTCATGACAACTGTGAGGGGGTGGATTTTTTTAAATAAATCATCCGTTTAAATGATATTAAGTCTTAAAGTTCTGCATAATTAAGGGTGTGGCCACTTGAGTGACAGGTGGATTGCCGCTGCTGTCACCACCGTCGCGATAGGTGGGCGTAGTTTCAGCAACCAGCTCCACCAGCCATGATCAATGGAGCTCTGAAATTACGATTCACCATGGCAACAGCATCCGACAAAAAGACATCAGCGTACTTCCGAGTCAATGCTTAACTTTAATTCTTAATCACTGTTATAATATCAGAGGTGAAAACTGGCAGAACGGTAAGTTATTGAACTAATAGTAATTTTAATGGTATCCCACAGGCAAAAGAAAAAAAAAACAGATGAAGAGGATGGCCACAAATACCAAGTACTGGAAGAATATTAAAATCCGACAGGAATAAATGTTGCTTTTGTATTTGTCGGCCCCTCAGTAAAAATCGCGTTCCAGGCCCCCTCTCCATAGCCGGGCCCTTGAAATCGTCCTAACCTTCCCCCCGTTACGCACCCCAGGTTAGGTTCACAGAGTAAGTTACCATGGTAAATGAATCTGATGCTGCGTTCAAGTCCTCCTGGGACGTTCGTACTTACGAGTTGACAAGTCGTAATTACGACGTCAGGCGCGTTCAAGTCAGTTTAGTCGGCACAAGATGGCGGTGTACCTTCTTTTAATAAATTACAAGAAAATACAACAGGGTCTGCATTTTTTTACTTGGATTTCAGCTGCGAAACAAGAACATGACCAATTTAAGTTTATAGGACAACTGAACTATCAATTTAAACTAAATTGTACCGTCAACTAGACGTTGCATCCATCGATTCCGCCATGTTTCTCATTGACACGCTCCCAACTCGGAAACTCGGGGCTTAAAGAAAATTTCGAGTTTCCCACTCGTAATAACGACTTTGTGGTGGCGTTCATGTGCATTCAACTCGTAAATACGATCTATCCGACATGACTTGAACGCACCATGAGTATAAGTTACCTCTCTTTCAGAAACGGGCTTGACTTAAGTTACCTTGCTTTCTCGGGTTTGACAAAACCTCCATTTCTGAAATGGAAAACCCAGAGTTTCTCTCATTTCGGGGTTAACATACTCATTTAAGGAGTTTTCATTTAACCTCCTTTCTGAAACGTGCCTCAGGTGTCATCAGCACATGGTTATTAGTGTGCTTAGATCACTTAAACCATTTTGTGATTTCCTTTTTTTATTTATTATTATTATTTATTTATTTATTTATTTTTTGCAAGAGCCATTTGAAAATATCACTCCATTTACACTTATGGATATACAAGTTTCCTAATAACAAAAATAAATACAATAGTATACTTTTTTTTTTTAATTTGTGAATAAAAACTGATTGGTTCAAAGCTACTATGAAATTGAATTTAATTTTAATGATCAGAAATGGTGACATCTCAAGCCACAAGAACAGAGACATTCAAAATAATCTTATAATGGTTTCTTTTTTACAGAAAGAGCAACTGTAATCTATAACTGTGTTTACTATGAAGTGATTCATGATAAAGGGAGAAATGAGACGCAGCTTTTCTTTTACTAAGATGCACTTTCACAATTAATGTACAGTAACGCTAGATGAAACATTGCAATCTTACATTAAATAATAATTAATCTATTTCACATTGTTTAAGATAGCCCGTATGGGCAGCATTGACATAAAACCTTTGAAAGAGAAAAACAAACCTTTCTTCAGCCGAATCACAGATGCAGGAGCACGGCGCAGCCTTATGGCCTCACACCACCACACCAAAATAAAAGTCCTGTTCAAACACAAAGGTCAGAAGGGCTGGAAAAATCACATACAAAAAGAATTGTATTCAGAGTCTTTTAGAATATTTAAAGACACGTTGTCTAGTTGTGCACTGAAAATAACTGCTAATGAGACTGTGTAGCACATCTAGTACTCTAAAAGGTAAACCGTTCATAAGTGCGGAAACTATATAGCAAGCTGTCGTCAATAAAATGTAATCTTTGTAGGGCCACAGATTATTCAAAAACAAATGTAGCAATAAATATTATTATTAGTTGTGCCAAATTAATTATTTGACTATAAATAATTCAAACAAACACACGCACACACAGAGATTGTTTTTTCCACTTATAACTTAAATTCAGATGTTATTAATACAGCACTTATATTACAGTGTTTCTAATATTTCAGTTCAGTTTTTTCCCCTCCTGGCCATGTACCATTTAATCACAATGACTGCTCAAACTTGTATCACAGTATGCTGTACTGAAATGCATTGGAAGATTGAAATATTGTTGCTTGTTATTACGTTTTGTTACTTTTTAAAAACAACTTTTAAAAATGTTCGATTGTTCTCTTTTTGTTTTTCTTCTCTAGTCACATTTGATCTCGCGAGTCTCCGTGAGATCTCGTGTCAATGTGAAATCGTCCTTACAATCAACAAGTGTGTGTTCTTGCGTTCTGGTTGAATTGTCTAGTGCATTCAGAGGATTATAAGGCTAAAATCGGTTGAAAATGTCTTCATGTCTGTGGTCTCCCATGGTTTTAAAATCGATTAAGACAAATAAGTAAATGAAAATTAAATTAATGAAAATTTTGTAACAAAAAAATAAGCAATTCATTTTATTAATTCGTATATTCATTAAAATTCATTGAAAAAAGTAGCCTAATTCTACAATGACAATATAAGTAAGAATTTAGTTTAATCAAATTGACTGTGAAAGATATTTAAACTTATTAAACCGACTTAAAAAATCCTTTGTTGCCATGGCTTTTTGATCATATTATTACCTGTAACATGTCTGTGCCGTACTCATAGGGCTGCACGATTAATCGAATGTGATTGTAATGCGCATTTTGTTAGTAAAGCCGGTTCTGTAATCAGCAGGAAATCATCATCACGTGCTTTCAGATGGAGCAGCATTTACTACACATAGCCGTAGTTCACTGACAAGTTATGCAAAAAAATTGCATACGATTTTATTGCGCGATTCTGAAATCGAAGAAATCATTCGCGATAATGACAGCTGTTTGCGTAGCTTCTCAGTGAACTACGGCTCTGTGTAGTAAATGCTGCTCCATCTGAAAGCATGTGAAAATACCACATTTAATAACATGTTTTTACTCCAAACTCACTTCATAACGTCAGTCGAGCGTTTGAAATAAATGCTTCTGTGAGATGACGTGGCTTCTTACACAGAATACGGCACGCAACATATTTCATCGTATTTAAGTGGTGATAAAGGCATTCAATTATAAATATACTTTATTTTAATGAAAATGATAATAATAAGAACTCCGATAAACCGTATATTGCTGTAGTCGTGTGTTTATTAGTCACGTTGAATCAATGAAAGCAGTTGAATCTTCTGTTTATTCAGCTGCAGCGATAGGCATTTTCTGGGTTTCTTCTGCGAGGCGTATTTGGAGTTTCTCTGGCCTTCGGATGCAGATTTACTGCTGATCACAGAACCGTGCTTCACTGAAAGATACGCATGACAATCGCAGCTTCTGTCGAATCGCGATCTCGATTCCATTTCGATTTATCGTGCAGCCCTACGTACTCATATTAAGAATTAACGACCATTTCTACAATCATTGCAAAGAGACAGCAGAGAAAGAGCGAGGGTGTCATCTTCGCAACCAATCTCGCATTCTCGCATCTGTAGCACTTATTTTGGTGATAAATCTTAGATCTTGCCTATTCTTGGAACAAAAGTAATGCTTAAGATTGATTCAATATTACTCTTAATGAAAAAAATTAAATATAAATCCCACACTCAACATCAGGAATAGTAGCCTACAATGACAAAGTCGCTTATTAATCCCAAATTAGAACGAAGACTGACGTACAAGAAAATAAAAGGTTTTAGGTTTTTGGATTTTTCCCTTACTTCAAATGAATTAAGTTTGTGGCTCATTATTATTAATATTAAATAGGGCTGCCCCCTAATAGTCGACTAATCGTTAGTCGACCAGAAGAGGCTTGGTCGACCAAAATTGTATTAGTCGCTTTAAAAAAAATAAAAAATACAATTCACAGGTAAAGTCAGACGGACAGATCGTTAACGGTTAGTCTATGGTAATAAAGTACGTCATTCATCGACCTCAAATGTGTCTTATCTGAAATATGTAAGCATTAGCAACTTTACATGGCTGCTCAATCTAATGTTAACTTAGAGAAATGTGCGCTATTGTGTATATGTGTGTGGAGCAGAGTTGCCAAGTCCACGTATTATACCCGACTTTGGGCTTCTTTTTTTGTGAAGTTGCGTGAAAAAAATCCTGTTTTTTGGGCTTATTTTTAAAAATATGGTTGCTTGTTAGGGAAATCTGATGCGCCCCTCACCATACTGTGATGATGCCCTGTCCGATCCGGAGCGATGACACAAAAACATTAAAACCCATTACAAAAAAGGCATTTGTTGCATCCAGTGGGGACATAATTACGGATTATAATGACTTATACTGTCTTTTTACGCGTTGCGTTGCATTGCATTGCATTTGTGATCAGAGAAATGACAAACAACAAGTGCTACTCCACACTGCCCAAAACTCACGTTTGAATCATCAGTGGCAAATGATAAAAGAAAACATACTTACGTGAGTCAGAACTGCCGGCATTTTAGTCTAACGTAACTCTCCCAGGATCAGTAAACAGTCCTCCATAAAATGTGCCGGCGATCCACAGCACTAAGTTGATGTATTCCCTCAGCGACCAGCACGGATCATCTCCAGGCATGACGAAGCGGATATAGTCCTCTTTTGGAAGACCAAACAAAGTAGTTTCGCTTTCACAACGAAACACACAGTGGCCTAGCGTGAGCTGAAGCCGTGCAAGAGTGAGCTGAGGCGGCGGGGTCGAGAACTGCGGTCCCGGCAAAGGAGCGGTGAAAACGGTGAAAGCCGATAACAAAATATTGTTTGCTGATATTTACTTTATTTAAACTTTGTCATTTATTTATTTGATTTTACATCAAGGTGTATGCCGTGCCTTCCAAGCTTTCTTACTCGTTTTGCTAATAAACGTTCTACGTTTCTTATTTATTTGGTTATATATTATACATGTTTACTTATTTCCAGTTTTGTATACCTATTTAAACTTTATGTAAGTTATTTGTTATTTTATATTAGGCATAGCCTGCCCCAATGTTAATAAAAGTTCTATGTTTTATATATACGCTAGTGTCTAAGTGAGTTAGACATTGTATTTTGTTGTTGCATTCAAGCAATTGACGCTGAACTGCCGCTAATTCGAAAGTGAAAGTAAAATGCGCACGCCGCTTTTAAACTATTCAAAAGTGAAGAAAAGCAAGGAAAAGAAGGAACGCCCCCCGCGGTGATACTGGTATTACCGGTGTTGTCACATGTCGATTAACCGGTGGGAAAATTTCCTCACCGTCACAACCCTACTATAGGGGCGTATAAGTCAGGCCTGGGCTGAAATGCAGGGCTCTAAAATAATGGTCTTTGGATTTCCCCTTACCTTGAAATTATCGTCATTTGTAGTTCATTATTAGCCTATTAATTAAAATACATACAGTAAGTCATAAAATACAATGGCAAATTTGCATATATTTAACATCTAACTTTTATTAACAAAATGAATAAGACGAATATTGCATACTTGCGTTGTAACCCAAATAAGGTATTTTCCCTTGTTTAAAACGACTGCTAAGTTTGTGGGTCATTGAAAGCACAGCAACAATAAAGACACTCACTTATATTTAATGAAGAAATTAAACTTATTAATATTATAATATGTTTACATACGTTCCCGCGGCTATGCATAGATGTTAAATGCAGTCATACCATGTAATTACATTAGCCTACAAATAGCGTGTTCTTTTCCTTGTTACATATTTATGAAGAATTTTAATTACAGCCAGAATTTCTTTTCAAGGCACAATTCGAGCACAAATGAATGTGGCATTTGTTGTGAAGAGCACCCTGAAGCATAGGCCTTATTTGTTTTTTAGGTGGATAAATGCAGTGTTCAATTTTCTAACAGCACAAACGAAAGGATTTAGACTCACTGTAAAATAGAAAGAATAAAGAAAAAAAAGAAAGAAAAAACTCTGTGGCCGTGCTAAATGGGATGGAGAGTAAAGATTCCGTTATATTTAAGAAGAGGTCATGGTAACATTGTTTCTTTTAACGACACAAATCAAGCACAAATGAACAGGAAGCCAGTTTGGAGAGATTTGGACGGCAGGGGTGGAGAGTGACGTCACTGCCCCGAATTCTGTTTGTTATTTCTAAGAAGGGGAATTATATTTGATGTTAATTTCAATGGCACAAATCGAGCACAAACGAATGACACCGGTTTTGTGCGATTTAGACAAACTGGGGTGGAGAGTGACGTCACAGCTCGCCGAAAACATTGTGGTTAAATCTAAGGAAGGAAAATAGATTCAGCGTTTGTTTTAACGGCACAAACCCAGCACAAGCGAACTTTGGAGTGATTTGGGCAACATGGGGTGGAGAGTGACGTCTCACGGTCCAAAACAATTATGTTTAATATCTCAAACACCAAACCAGCACAAACACTTGTTTTTTGCGGCACAAACGAATGGCATAGTTTTGGTGATTATTTATTTTTATGGGGCGCCAACTTCATGGAGGTACCTTCCAGATGTCATCAGATGAGTACATTATCAGTAAATTCTCTCACTAAAGATGAATCAGAAAATGTAGTGTAACGTTCTTTATTTCATTCAGCTTGTCATTTTATTTATATGACCATTATTTACATTATCATTCAGTTATACAGTGTGGCTTTTCACAGAATTATGTTTAATATCTCAAACACCAAACCAGCACAAACACTTGTTTTTTGCGGCACAAACGAATGGCATAGTTTTGGTGATTATTTATTTTTATGGGGCGCCAACTTCACGGAGGTACCTTCCAGATGTCATCAGATGAGTACATTATCAGTAAATTCTCTCACTAAGATGAATCAGAAAGTGTAGTGTAAAGTTCTTTATTTCATTCAGCTTGTCATTTTATTTATATGACCATTATTTACATTATCATTCAGTTATACAGTGTGGCTTTTCACAGCATGACCAAAGTTCAACTACTATTTTGATTCCAAGTGATCAATATATGAATTGGAACGATGTCTCTATAACAGGGGTATTCAATTAAAGTCCCCAGTGGAGGTCCAGACAATATTGTTATAGTTGATTTGGATAAAAGGGTCTGCTAAGTGACTAAATGCTTATTTCTTGAAACTACAGCAAAGTAGATGGCCAGATATAGCCTCAAGATAATGTAGATAGAGGTGAAGAATGAAAATAAGAGAAGTGGGTATGAAGGTGGACAATCAAGAGTTGGCCCACACTCCGCAGCAGTGAACGTTCACTCAGATTTACAGGTGAAGGAGCTCATGTGGTAACTAAAGTTGTGTTGATGAGTGAAACTCTTTCCACACTGAGTGCAAGTGTAAGGCTTCTCTCCAGTGTGAACTCTCATGTGAATTTTGAGGCTACATTTATGACTAAAACTCTTTCCACATAGATGACATATAAAACAGTTTTCTCCCAAGTGAGTCCTTATGTGGCGATTAAGGCTTACTTTATGTATGAAACTCCTTCCACATTGACCACATTTGAACTGTTTCTCTCCGGTGTGAATGGTCATGTGGTATCTACGGGTTAGTTCTGTCGTGAAGCTCTTTCCACACTGATCACATTTGAACAGTTTCTCTCCCGTGTGACTTCTCATGTGGTTATTATGAGTATGTTTATAAGCAAAACTCTTCCCACACTGAGTGCAAGTGTAAGGCTTCTCTCCAGAGTGAATCCTCATGTGGATTGCCAGGTTTTGTTTTTGAGGGAAATTCTTTCCACATTGTTTGCAGGTGAACAAGCTGTCTTCACTGTGAGTTCTCGTGTGGGAATTAAGGTTGCCTTTATGTGCAAAACTCTGTCCACACTGAGAGCAAGTATAAGGCTTTTCTCCAGTGTGAACTCTCATGTGAATTTTAAGGTTTCCTTTTTGAGCAAAACTCTTTCCACACTGTTTACAGATAAAATGTCTCTCTCCAGTGTGAACTTTCATGTGGAGCGTAAGGTTCTGTTTTCGATTGAAACTCTTTCCACACTGACGGCAAATAAGAAAACTGTTAGATTCCATCTTTTCTCCAATTTTTAAATCATGATCTTTCTCTTCCAAATCCTTCAGCTCTTGACTCTTCTCAATCAGGTCTAGAAGAAAAATACAAAAGCAGTTTAAGTCATCAAAGTCTACTGAAAAAAAGACTAATGAAAAAGGTGTTTCTTGTAATCTCAGAAACTGTTTGCCTTCAAACTGCCGTCAACCTGCCAGTTATCAAACGCCTTGCGAAACAGAGCATGACCAAAGGTTTATTTTCCAGCACAACATTCCTGTGGACAGCATGAGAATTATATTGCCATTTGTGAACAAGCATTAGCACAGTTTAAGTCTTATCTCACATGAACCACGAAGCCAGTAAGACCGGCCTGCGTATCAGCCTGGAAAAATCGAGTGCCAGTCATCACTGTAGATGCAACACGACTGGACACAGCGGGAAAAAAATCGCCTATTTGGGGAGTATCATTTGTCACAATGTTGATACTGAGACCGATATCCGTAGGCAGATCGGATTTTCCGGGTTTCCGCGTTCTTGCTATTATACACTAGGGGGCGCTATCACACATCTCCTGAATGAGTCTTGAGTGTGCCGATCAAAAACACAGACCAGGAAGACGCAGAATCATGAAAAATAATGCGATATTCAACACTAACCGCGTATAAATGAAAACTGCCTAATGTTACAGAGTGAAATGTCAATCTAGGAAGGCCTGTGCAAGCTTTGGGAGTGCTGATGGAAGCCATCCACTGCATCTTTGCTTTGATAATATTACTGAATATGATCCAGATGTAGGCTAGTACTTGATAAAAATGCAATTTTGTCAGCTTTTTTCTCAAAACGTAGTGTTGATAAAAAAAACAATGCTTAAAGCTAGAAAAAAAACTTTTTTTTGTTTGAAAGTAGAGGGTCTGACCTTTATTTTGGCGTATTGCATGTTCAGATATTCATTTAACATGTGACATCAGTGGTTCATCTGCAATTATATGAAGCTACGAGAATACTTTTTGTGCACAAAAAAAAAACGACTTTATTCAACAATTCGTCTCTGAGTGCAAGTGTAAGGCTTCTCTCCAGTGTGAACTCTCATGTGAATTTTGAGGCTACATTTATGACTAAAACTCTTTCCACATAGATGACATATAAAACAGTTTTCTCCCAAGTGAGTCCTTATGTGGCGATTAAGGCTTACTTTATGTATGAAACTCCTTCCACATTGACCACATTTGAACTGTTTCTCTCCGGTGTGAATGGTCATGTGGTATCTACGGGTTAGTTCTGTCGTGAAGCTCTTTCCACACTGATCACATTTGAACAGTTTCTCTCCCGTGTGACTTCTCATGTGGTTATTATGAGTATGTTTATAAGCAAAACTCTTCCCACACTGAGTGCAAGTGTAAGGCTTCTCTCCAGAGTGAATCCTCATGTGGATTGCCAGGTTTTGTTTTTGAGGGAAATTCTTTCCACATTGTTTGCAGGTGAACAAGCTGTCTTCACTGTGAGTTCTCGTGTGGGAATTAAGGTTGCCTTTATGTGCAAAACTCTGTCCACACTGAGAGCAAGTATAAGGCTTTTCTCCAGTGTGAACTCTCATGTGAATTTTAAGGTTTCCTTTTTGAGCAAAACTCTTTCCACACTGTTTACAGATAAAATGTCTCTCTCCAGTGTGAACTTTCATGTGGAGCGTAAGGTTCTGTTTTCGATTGAAACTCTTTCCACACTGACGGCAAATAAGAAAACTGTTAGATTCCATCTTTTCTCCAATTTTTAAATCATGATCTTTCTCTTCCAAATCCTTCAGCTCTTGACTCTTCTCAATCAGGTCTAGAAGAAAAATACAAAAGCAGTTTAAGTCATCAAAGTCTACTGAAAAAAAGACTAATGAAAAAGGTGTTTCTTGTAATCTCAGAAACTGTTTGCCTTCAAACTGCCGTCAACCTGCCAGTTATCAAACGCCTTGCGAAACAGAGCATGACCAAAGGTTTATTTTCCAGCACAACATTCCTGTGGACAGCATGAGAATTATATTGCCATTTGTGAACAAGCATTAGCACAGTTTAAGTCTTATCTCACATGAACCACGAAGCCAGTAAGACCGGCCTGCGTATCAGCCTGGAAAAATCGAGTGCCAGTCATCACTGTAGATGCAACACGACTGGACACAGCGGGAAAAAAATCGCCTATTTGGGGAGTATCATTTGTCACAATGTTGATACTGAGACCGATATCCGTAGGCAGATCGGATTTTCCGGGTTTCCGCGTTCTTGCTATTATACACTAGGGGGCGCTATCACACATCTCCTGAATGAGTCTTGAGTGTGCCGATCAAAAACACAGACCAGGAAGACGCAGAATCATGAAAAATAATGCGATATTCAACACTAACCGCGTATAAATGAAAACTGCCTAATGTTACAGAGTGAAATGTCAATCTAGGAAGGCCTGTGCAAGCTTTGGGAGTGCTGATGGAAGCCATCCACTGCATCTTTGCTTTGATAATATTACTGAATATGATCCAGATGTAGGCTAGTACTTGATAAAAATGCAATTTTGTCAGCTTTTTTCTCAAAACGTAGTGTTGATAAAAAAAACAATGTAGAAAAAAAGAAAAAAAACTTTTTTTTGTTTGAAAGTAGAGGGTCTGACCTTTATTTTGGCGTATTGCATGTTCAGATAACATGTGACAATGTGACATCAGTGGTTCATCTGCAATTATATGAAGCTACGAGAATACTTTTTGTGCACAAAAAAAAAACGACTTTATTCAACAATTCGTCTCCTCCGCATCACCCTGTAAACAGCATATGCTGTTCTGTGTCAGTTGCGTCATGCCGGATCTGTTTCCTACGTTGTTGTGATTTGATCTGAACGGAAAACAGCGTATCCGTGTGACGCAGCTAACACAGAAGTCTTTCGGATGAGACATTAAACCGAGGTCCTGACTCTCTGTGGGCTGTGAGCGGAGGCCGGCGGCTTGAGTGAGCGGAGGCCGGCGGCTTGAGTGAGCGGAGGCCGGCGGCCTGAGTGAGCGGAGGCCGGCGGCTAGAGTGAGCGGAGGCTGTCGGCTTGAGTGAGCGAAAGCTGGCGGGCTTGCGGCAACCACATGTGACGACCCCGGGCTGGACTCCACTTCGTCCACGGTAAAAGCCGATCTGGCGATCCACAGCGCGAAGTTGATGTATTTCCTCAGCGACTAGCACGGATCAGCTCTAGGCATGATGAAGGGGATATCGTCCTCTTTTGGAAGGCCAAACAAAGTAGTTCGTTGCAACAAACGATCAAACTCTTGTCTGCTGGGATTCCGTGTCGTGCTTTGCCCACACATTACAACTCGCCATAAACGATGCCTTCAACATATACATAAACAGGGTCATCGCAGCTGCTGGAAGACTTGTTCAGCACTTCAATCACAGTACTATGGCTTCCAGAGCACTCCGTGACAAACAGGCACAGTTGAAACTTCCACCGCATCGACTGATACAGTCCTGCAAGACAAGGTGGAACTCGATCAGTGACATGTTTGCCCGGCTCGTGGAACAAAGGTGGGCAGTGACTGCCGTACTGTCTGACCGCACTGTCACCAAACTAGCGGACGCCAGAATTCTTGAGCTCAAAGATGAATACTAGCAGCTGATGGAGGACGTGGCACCTGTGTTGGCAGCGTTAAAGTGTGCCACGTCTGTAATGTCTACCGAATCTGATGTGTCCATCTCAAATATCTATCCTATCACTTACTTACATTCACATCTTATGAGAAACGAAGAGGACAGCACTCGGGTTTTGGAGTTCAAAGCAAAAGTGCATGCCTCATTGGCGCAACGAATGCAGGTAAGAGACGTTTTGAGAAACATCCATTCCATACAAAATAATTTCATAGGCGATGCACCACCTAATCGCTTATATTCATTACTTTAGGTTCAATTTAGTACACTCCCATCAAAGCCATCGATGATAGCAACGATGCTGGATGCCAGACACAAACATCTAGGCTTTCTAACCACATCAGAGAGGTTGGCTGCCAATGCAAAGCTGCATGAAATGGCTTCCGCAGTAGTTCTGACCGGGCCCCATACAGAAAATCCAAATAGTGGGGTTACTCAAAGTGTCCAGCAGGCCCAAGGAGGTGATGACGGGAAAAGAGCCCTTCGGATGCTTCTCGGAAGTAATTACAATGAACGGGATATCAACGACTCGGAAAGCGAAGTGAACAACTTTCTTAGAGAACAGCCTCTAAATTTATTAAGAACTACTCCGGTACTATGCTTTGAGTGCGTCAGAAACAGAACGGGGTATCAGTTTACTGTCTGGGGTTGTGTTGCGTTGCGGCGAGCCGCATCCAGTGTAGACTGCATCATCAGATCGTTAATTATTCGATATTGATTAGCATATCATTTAACTTAACTGGTAAATTTAGCTCTTGAGCAAGTAATATATAAGTATTAAAATGTCATCCATGTGAGGTGAGTAAATCTCAATTTCAAGACCGCTGAAGTGGGCTAATAACTAAATGGCATAGGCCTTTAACACGTAATGGGCATTCACGAGGAGATGGGCTTTTCGCATTCTCCGGATTTTCCTTAATATGCACAATATCCTATGCACATTTGGGAAGAAAATAACACACTTACAGTAACAAAAACTTGCTGACATGGACGCACGCATGCACCAGTTGGAGTGCGCATCTGAAACGGTGTTATATTAGTCATTATATTTGAATAATTAAATAATTCTATTAAATGATCAATCGATTCATTTGATAATCCTACTAGCATTTTATTTACAGTAAAAACCCTTTCCTTTGTGTGAGGACGCTTGCGTTTTTAGTGTCATTGCACACCTGGTCATGCGGTAACTATGCTACTGCAGTAGACGCATCTTGCAGTATAAAGGTTAACGATTAATCGATTAATTGATCGTTAATTTAAACGAAGTGATCGTGAGAATTTGTCGAAATTGACATCCCTAATCTACATCTTGAGTATCTTTCCACAGAATCACTGGTTTTGAGGATGAGAAGACAAAAATCACTTCATGACAACAAATCAGTCACTTTTTTTAGTTGCATAGTTAAGTGATGAACATGAATGGCTGTCATTGTTTTCAGTTCAGAAGTTGATATTGGGCAGTTAATGAGGTTCATATGTATATATATATGTTCTTAAGTTATTTTTTATATAGAAGTAGGAGCTTCTCGGCTTCTCTTGATGGCAGCTAGTGATGGAAATTGATTCTTTCAAGAGATTCGTTAATTTTCAGTTTGTTCACCAAAATGATTCGTTCACTGATTTGTTCAGTGACCATTTCTTCATATTACATAAACACGCCAGCAGGTGGTGAAAAAGCGTGTCTTATGTGTTGGATTAAACGTGGAGTTATGTTCTGTATGCTAAATATGAACATATAAACAAGCGTATGTGCACAGTACCTATAACTGCGCTTTGCATCCGCTTTCTGCTGATTGCTGCTCGAGATTGACATGCTAAATGGCCGACTGACCAGGTACACACTCATTCATTTAGTTTACGAACGAGATATGTACCAGTTCGGTCATTTCGCTCACGAACGAGAAGATCTCTCGATCTCGTTCAGACTCAAAAGAAACTCGTTCAGTGAAGGGCGTATTCGTTCACTACATTCAACAAATCACATGCTCCGTCACATCTCAAACTCGAAGGCTATTGGCTCGAGGTTTAGTCATTCTTTGACAGGATGAAACAGTCCACAGAGCTACCCGGTTCACCGAGCTACGCATGCGCTGCCAATAACTCGACAGAAAGGTTTTTTCAGGTTTTAATAAAATGTAAATAACAGTCATAATAAGCATATTTCCAGTACGCGCCTCAGGCTTGCACAGTATCGTCAACTTAACTCATCAGAATCTTCAGTAATCCTCGGCAAACTTCGCCACGGTTCATTCGGTTCTTGTTGAGTCCTCGGTAATCCTCGGCAAACTTCGACACGGCTCATTCGGTTCTTGTTGAATCCTCTGCAAACTTCGCCACGGCTCATTCGGTTCTTGTTGAATCCTCTGCAAACTTCGCCACGGCTCATTCGGTTCTTGTTGAATCCTCTGCAAACTTCGCCACGGCTCATTCGGTTCTTGTTGAGTCCTCAGTAATCTTCGACAGTTGGTTGAACCGGCTCATTCGGTTCTTTTCGAGTTGGACGTGCTAGTTCGGCTGTGCGTCCTGCGTCATCAACCCGGAACTAAAGTTCGATTCAGTTCGATTTGTGAACCGGCTCAAAAGAATGATTCGTTCAAGAACCTAACTTCACTAGTTTTTATACACGAGGCTCCATGTCAAATAAAACCACTTAAATTTGGACACTCAGTCACAAGACATTCTTCAAAAATATAGACTGAATATAGAGACTGACATTTTAATATCAAATGAAAACCAACCTGTTTGTTCCTCAGTACCTTCTTGTTTCAGACTGAACACTTCTTCAATCCTGAAGTCTTCACTCTCCTCTTTAATGAACGCCATCTTTATAATCGTGTGTCACGTGGATCTCAGCTGCTTCACCAGGAGTTTTTTTCTTCTGTGTGGTTCGATACTGTCATGGTTAAAATGAGAAAAAATAAACAAAGAAAAATCGATTCAAACTAAACGAGTTTAGCTCCCTTGTCGAGTCGTCAGTGCACTGCTAATGGAGTCAGTCTCAGTGATAGTTAATGGCCTTAAATAAACTAATGAGAAAAAATATATACAGACACTTCATACACATCTGTTGAGATACTAAATGATCGGTAGATTGCAGTCATTAGATTACACTTTAATTACTTTATATGCAGTTGGTTTGTAAAAAGTTTGTAGTTTTTGTTGCATTTACAGTTTTGAGCAGCAGGGCTTTACTCCCACTAAGAACGCACATTAACCTCAGATAAAGCACTAGTCTCACGTTAAACAACATTCAAGCCATTTCACATCGTTAGCTTCGACTTAAACTCTGAAAGCAATAAACAAACCTGTCTTCAGCCGAATCCCCGACGCTGGCTTATGACGTCACACCACCACACCAAAATAAAAGTCCTGCTCAGACACCAGTGCTGACCAGTGCTGACCAGTGCTGGAGGATTCACACACAACAGGGCTCTGTCTTTACATTTATTTTGAAAGATGAAGCTCGCGATTATGGTAAGGGGCGTTACATTTCCGACGAGTGCTTGTGGTGTTCGGCCAATCACAATGCACTGGGTCAGCTGGCCAATCAGAGCAGACTGCGCTTGTCGGAAGGAGGGGCTTTGTAGAAAACGAAGCGTTTGAGAGAGGCGGGGCATAGAGGACCTACAATAATGTACAGTATTTGAAAACTAATGTGTTTTTTGAACATTAAAGCATGTCAACATATTCTGTTACACCAAATACACAAAATAATGATCTTTAAAAAAAGCATCATATGACCCCTTTAATCAGTGTTTAAACAAACAAGCAGCTTCAAAAAGCTCAGTTTCTCTATTATTACTTTTAAAATTGAATTTCAAAGTTACAATCAGTTCTCAAAATCTTTTCTTTTTTTTTTTTAAGTGAAGTAAAACTATTAATTGTTTCAGGGCTACTCTGAATTAAATGTCAATGATCAGAAATGTAAACATCTCACGCCAGAAGAGAGAAGAACAGAGACACATATACATGTATAATTCAGATGAAAATGTTTCTTTTACTCAGTTACTGATGCGCTTTACTCCCACTAAGAACGCACATTAACCTCAGATAAAGCACTAGTCTCACGTTAAACAACATTCAAGCCATTTCACATCGTTAGCTTCGACTTAAACTCTGAAAGCAATAAACAAACCTGTTTTCAGCCGAATCCCCGACGCTGGCTTATGACACCAAAATAAAAGTCCTGCTCAGACACCAGTGCTGGAGGATTCACACACAACAGAAGCAAAGCAGTCCAACAATAAAACATGCATTCTGAGTTTTGTTCTTCTTTAAAGACACGCTGTCTCGTCTTGTGCAGCACATCTAGTAGTATTTAATTCATGATTCTGTCTAAAAGGCTTTGTCAATAAAACTAAAGCTTTGTTAGGGCCACAGATTATTCAAAAATTAGCAACTGCAACAATAAATAGGTAATGAGTTATTAGTTAAAAATGTGACTTTATAAGTGAATCACACACACACAGATTGTTGTTTCCACTTATTACTTAAATTCAGTTATTAATACTTATATTAAAGTGTTTCTAATAATACATTGCCCTTTTTTAATAATATGACAGTATTTTTGATCATATTAAATATCTACATATGTGTACTATTTATATACTATTTTCAACAAATGACCTTTTTTTTTTCTTGCTGCACAGTTGGTTTATGTTGCTTTCTCCTGAGCACAATAGCTGCGTTTCCATTACACTTCAAATTGCGCAAATTGAAATTGCGAATTGAAAATGCATCTAATGGAAACGTTTCAATTTTGCAAAAACTCCCATATATCGCAAAAAAAACATCTTACGCTCGCATCAGGTGGTTTTTCAGGCAAATCAAAAACAGGAATATTTCGCAAAATTGGAATGGAAACGTTTTTTGGCTGTTCATAACTAATAGAGAGACGTTAGTGACCATCTTTATGGGTACATTCAGTAAGTTACGCTGTCAAATGTAAAAATACATTTGAATTTGTATTGCTATATGCAATATATTTCACTGATATTCATTGATTTTTTCACTTTTTCTCCATTTGGTTTGTGTCAGCTGCAGATAAAGAGCCAACAGGAACAGGTCGCTGCATCTTTTGTCATGCAAGTACATTTAAATTGATTTAAAGCTGCATATTCATGCATCAAGGTAAAGTCATTAGTAATTTCTTAGTAAGTTCTGTCATCATTTACTCACTCTCTTGTTGTTTCGAACCCGTATTACTTACTGTTTTACAATAGTAAGCCATTTTCATCTGTGACTCAAGACAGTTTTCACATTGGTTGATCATTAAATATTTCGAATCCGTTCAAATTGTTTGCCCTTCTTTGTCTTCAGAAAGATATGGTAACGTTATTCACAAACGTTTCACATGATTCATGCTTAACCCACATGCCATAATCAATATCACGACACAATCAGGCCTAGCTCGCATGGAGCTTATTAAAACGGCAAATAACTTAAATTTTAAACAACTAAAAAGGTACTCCCCTTTCTTGTTCATTGAAATGTTGTTTTCTTCAGTTAAAATAAATAAACAGCTCAAAGTTGATCCGTTAAACGTCAATTTTTGTCGTTGAAATCAAAGTATGCGCTCTGTACGGAACGCCTTTAACGCTTATCATCTTCCGTACACGTGCTGAGGAGCTACTTTTCCCCACTTTTCTCAAAAACTATTGGTCCAAAAGACATCAATCAAAGTGTGGACTGTGCAATGGGTATTCCCCCAGAGAATGATCACAGAAACATGCTTGTCTGGCTTTCAGCAACGAAGGAGTGGTCGCTGGCGTGCGGTGAAGGGCGAAAAGTGTACGGAACATGGTTGGTCTACGTTACTGGTGCGCTGTCTGAAGCGGCTCAGGGTGTGCATACAGCCAAACGCGCAGCCTTTCAAACTTTACTTCTCTGCACCGTTTAGACAACCTCAGGTATGTGTCGCCGCATTCTTGGGTTATGAAGAATAAAGAAGGGAAAAGTTAATCTTCCGAAATGAAGCAGCAGTATCTTCTCAGGTAAAAGTTATTAGAACCGTGTCTGGGGACAAGCTGGCCATCACTCTGCTCTGACCTTATCAGCCCGTTCGTATCCTATTATTTGATTCGCTCTTGTCGCTTATGACAGAACAGCTAATCACGATGATCTTGTTTTCGGAAAATATTATTTTATTCGCTTATGTCAGAAACGGGAAATCTCTTTTAAAACTGGCTGTTGTTTTCACTTCATTGCATTGTTATAATTTGTAAAAGTTGTACTCGCCAACTGGCAACTGACACTGTTACATATACTCGCCAACGCTGATTTTTACTCGCATTTGGCGCTTGGCGAGTGTTAATTTTCTCTCCAGTGTGAACTCTCATGTGGTAACTAAAGTTGTGTTGATGAGTGAAACTCTTTCCACACTGAGTGCAAGTGTAAGGCTTCTCTCCAGTGTGAACTCTCATGTGGTAACTAAAGTTGTGTTGATGAGTGAAACTCTTTCCACACTGAGTGCAAGTGTAAGGCTTCTCTCCAGTGTGAACTCTCATGTGAATTTTGAGGCTACATTTATGACAAAAACTCTTTCCACACAGATTACATATAAAACGGTTTTCTCCAGAGTGAGTCCTTATGTGGCGATTAAGGCTTACTTTATGTATGAAACTCCTTCCACATTGACCACATATGAACATCTTCTCTCCGGTGTGACTTCTCATGTGGTCATTATGAGTATGTTTATGAGCAAAACTCTTCCCACACTGAGTGCAAGTGTAAGGCTTCTCTCCAGAGTGAATCCTCATGTGGATTGCCAGGTTTTGTTTTTGAGGGAAATTCTTCCCACATTGTTTGCAGGTGAAGGAGCTCTCTCTACTGTGAATTCTCATGTGGAAATTAAAGTTGCCTTTATGTGCAAAACTCTTTCCACACTGAGTGCAAGTATAAGGCTTTTCTCCGGTGTGAACTCTCATGTGGACTGTAAGGCTTCCTTTTTGAGCAAAACTCTTTCCACACTGTTGACAGATGAAACGTCTCTCTCCAGTGTGAACTTTCATGTGGAGCGTAAGGTTCTGTTTTCGATTGAAACTCTTTCCACACTGACGGCAGATAAAAAAACTGTTAGATTCCATCTTTTCTCCAATTTTTAAATCATGATCTTTCTCTTCCAAATCCTTCAGCTCTTGACTCTTCTCAATCAGGTCTAGAAGAAAAATACAAAAGCAGTTAAATGCCGGTTTCACACTGCATGCGTAAGCAGAGCATAAGCAGCCCTTATTTTTTTCGGCACCCATGTTAACAGATTAGAGTATTCACACCGCACAGTGCATTGTTCTTCATCAAAATTGACCCGATTAACATGAAAAATACATTTCACCATAAAATCATGCAAGTGATTTTCTCCAATTTTTAAATCATGATCTTTCTCTTCCAAATCCTTCAGCTCTTGACTCTTCTCAATCAGGTCTAGAAGAAAAATACAAAAGCAGTTAAATGCCGGTTTCACACTGCATGCGTAAGCAGCGCTTATTTTTTTCGGCACCCATGTTAACAGATTAGAGTATTCACACCGCACAGTGCATTGTTCTTGATCAAAATTGACCCGATTAACATGAAAAATAAATTTCACCATAAAATCATGCAAGTGATGTGTTTCGTGTTTCACAAATCACCCTATGAAAGGGCTGCGTTTCCCAAAAGCATTGTAAGCCTAAGTACATCGTAGACCCATTGCCACCAATCAACTTATCACCCTACGATCAACTTATGCCCGGTTCAGACTACACCATTTTAGCCCGATTTTGGCACGATTTGCTTGACGTAGCGTGTCGTGGGGATTCGTAAACGACAATGAGCGTCGAGACGCAAGATTCCACCGTTTCAGCTCGTGTAGTGTGTCATAGTGGACGACAACCGATTCTGCGTCTGCGATGCTTCACGACAGAAAGACTAGCATGTTTAATTTTTTTCCTGTCGTCCACGACGAGTTCTGTCACGTTGGTGACGTTGACCAATAGCAGCACAGAAGCGCTTTCATACACAGATTTCAAACATGGCGAAACGAAAGAGAGATGATGGTGCTGCTAGGTGGAGTTATGAGATGGAGGAAAGGTTCGTGGAGCTGTGGCAACAGTACTCCTGCCTGTATGATGTGTCAT